TGCGTCGGAGCTGGCGGAGCGGCGGCGAGGGGCCCGAGGAACCCGTCGGGCTCGTCGATGCGGGCCAGGTCGCCATCGCCGTCGACGGGGGCTGCTACGTCGTCGTCGTCGTCGGTCAAGCTGCCGAACAGATCGAAGCCCTCGTCGTCGAAGTCCGCCCTCTCGGCGGCCTCCAGCGCCGCCGCGACAGCTGGCCGATGAGGCGCAGCAGCAGCAGCGCCAGCAGCACGCAGGCACTCTCGCAACCTCTTGCGAAGAGGCCCCAGCGGCTGCCACATAGCCTGCGGCGCCGCAAACAACACATCCATCCTGTCCCTTCCCGTCCCGTATGTCCTCATCCTCTCACATCCTCCGTACTCCTCCTCCTCCTCACGCCTACGCCTACTCATTCATTGTGTCCTCCATCCTTCCTCCACATCCTTCCTCATATCCTAGGCCTTCTTCCTAGTCCTTGAGTTGTTATCCTGTCCCTCCTCACCTCGTCCTCATCTCCTGTTTTCTGACCATGGGCCTTCCGCCTGGCCGCTGAGGCCGTCAGCGGCCTGACGGCGTCGGCCGTCAGGCCGTCCAGGTGGACGTCCTCGAGGTCGCGATGGCCGACGCCGCGGACGTCCACTGCCTACGAGAAGTTCCCCCACTACCTTTCCCCACCGTGGGGAAAGGGAGTGGGAGAACGCCTCGAGGCCCTCGGGGCTCTCCGCCGCCTCGGCGGCGTCGGCCGCCACCGCGCCCCAGCCGGCGGCGGGGCCGCCGAGGGCGGCCTCCTCGGCGGCTGCGGCATTGGCCGCCCAGCCCGCGGCGAGCCCCTCGGAAGCCGCGGCCTCGGCCTCCGCGACGAGGGCCCACCCTGCCCCGCCCCCGCTCATGGCGGGGGGGAGGCTGACAGCCAAAATGGCTAGGGTGGGAGGATGTGGGGGGGCAATATGCGTGGTGCAATCTATGTGGCTCAAGCCATGTAGCACGATATATGTGGTGCAAGCTATGTGGCGTAAGCTATGTGGTGCACGCTATGTAGTGCATTCTATGGGAAGCAACCTATATGGTGTCACTTTTGTGGTGCAACCTATGTTGAGCAATCTACGTGGTGCAAGCAACGCGGTGCCACATGTGTGGTGTGAGCTATGCGGTGGCAAGCTTCAGAATACATTATATGCTGTGCAATCCGCCGAGTTTGGGGGTTTTCTTGGAGAGAGAGAGTTGCATGTTTTTGTTTAGTGTTGAATGCCCTTCGTCATTTGGTTGTTCATGTACGTATTGTGTGGACTTCCTGGGGGTGGATGAGACAACATAGAAGAGAGAACATACAATGAGAAGCGAGGCGAGGAGTTTTCGAAGTACGCGCCGCTAGCGAAAGAGCTCTGAATCGACTACTTGTTACAAGCCAACAACCCGTCGGAGCCTACTTTTTGTACTTTGGGAGGTACTTTGGGGGGTACTTTGGAACCTACTTGTTAGGCTCGGGGGGTACTTCTATTCCTACTCCGAAACCTACTTTGGGAGGTACTTTGGCCTTTCTGGAGGCCCTATAGGCCTAGCAGGCACTGCCTTTCACAAATTCGTGGCACCCGCCTCCGCTGGACCTCCCAGGGGCCCACGACAGTGGCAACAGCCACGGATTTCGCAGCCACCCACGGAGCAGCGAGGTCTCAAATGGTCGCGCGTGGCCCCCAACTGCGTTGGACATTCCCGGAGCCAGCTAAAGTGGAGACAGTAAAAGTTTTGCAGCTCGCAGCAAGCCAGGGAGCAGCGAGATCTTAAATGGGCGCGCGTGCCCCCCGACTCCGCTGGACCTCCCAGGAACCCACGAAAGCTTCGCCAGCTGCGCAGTTCGCAGCAACCCTGGGAGCACCGAGATCCCACGTGGAGCCGCGTGGCCCCCGACCCCCATCACGCCACCCAGGAGCCAGCCAAAGTGGCGACGGTTGCGCAGTTCGCGGCCGCCCTGGGAGCGGCGCGGTCTCACACGGGCGCGCGTGGCCCCCCGACCCCGACCTCCCAGGAAGCCAAAAACGTGGTGACAGCTGCCCAGCCCGCAGCCACCCAGGGAGCAGCGAGGTCGCGGCATGGTGCGCGGACAAGTTTGCTCCGCTGGACCTCCCAGGAGCCCACGAACGCTGGCAGGTGCGCAGTTCGCAGCCACCCGGAGAGCAGCGAGGTCTCGTCTGGATGCGCGTGGCCCTCCACTCCGCTGGACCTCCCAGGAGCCCGCGAACGTGGTGACGGTTGCACAGTTCGCAGCCACCCTGGGAGCAGCGATCCCCCACTTGGACCCGCGTGGCCGCCGACTGCGCTGGACCTCGCGGGAGCCCCACGAAGGCGGTGACAGTTGCGCAGTTCGCAGACGTTCAGGGAGCAGCGAGGTCCCAAATAGGCCCGCGTGGCCCCCGATTCCGCTTGACCTTTCAAGAGCCCACGAACGTGGCGACAGTTGCGCAGTTCGCAGCCACCCAGGGAGCCGCGAGGTCTCGGCTGAATGCGCGTGCGCCGCTAACCCGCTGGACCTCCCAGGAACCCACGGTCGTGGCGACGGTTCCAATGTTGGCAGCCCCCCGAGCACACCCCCAGAAGGCAAGTCACGAGGAAAGGAGGCAAGACGGCAGGGGGAGGAGCACATCGGAGTACATCGGAGAGCGCACCCAGGTGCGACCACAGCCGCAGGAGCGAGCCTCAGTGCGATCAGGTAAACAAAAAGAAGGCGCTCGCAGGAGCGCGGATCGGCAAGGGCACCTCACGCAGGCACAGTGCCGCCGATCCTACGTAGAAGTCGGTTCGACGAGCCAGCGTCGAAGCCGTCCTGTGACGGGCCTTGCTCGTCGGCCGCCTCCTCAGAGTTGCTGCGCGAGGGGCTCGCCGAGGAGGAGCTCCAACCTCGCCCCTCTGCAGCACCGCTCGGGCGCCCGCCGCGCGCTTGGAGGACGATGGGGATCTCCCGCAGGCGCCCGAGGGCCGCTCTCCTCCGCCTCCCCGTCGGGGGCATCGTTCGCGGTGGGCGACGCCGAGGCTGGGGACGAAGGGAGAGGCGTCGAAGCGGAGGGCGTGCGCTTGGGCAAGGAGGCGTCGCCCACCTCCATGGCGCAAGCCACGTTCGCCGTGGAGTCCAGGCGAACGTCGGGAGCATCAGGGCGGTGAAAAGCAGTATGCTCTTCTTGAAGCGGAGGAGCGCCCACACGAACGGCGCGATGGGGTTGGCCTGATCAGCGTGCCCGTACTCCCCGCGCAGCGCGTGGCCTCCCAGGTCGTGCGACTGCTCTGCCACCTTCCCGTGCTCGCCCATATGTTGCGCGTCCGAGCCGTTGTGGGGACAACGGCCAGCACCAGCAGCGCCACGAGGAAGTACACCAGCATCTGGACGAACGACGGCGTCGTCGCCATCGCGAGGAACACTACCAGGACGAGGAATGTCCTCGCCAGGATAGGGGGGGTGGGGGGCCAGCGGCAGCCTCCTGGAGTGCGCCAGCGGGGAGGGGCGAGGCGTCCACGCGCTGGGCCTCCGCGTCCGGCTGCACGCCGACGGTCGGCGTGGTTCCGCACGAGGTGGGTTCAGCGCCGCCTCTGCCGAGCCCGGGGCCTGCAGAGGCCCACGCGATGTCCGCCGCGGACGCGTGGGCGAATCCGCTTGGCGAGACTCGCTGAGCGTGCCACGCGGCGTTCCGGCGGTGGCGGCGGGAGCCAGGGACAGCGCATCCCTGGGCAAGCAGCACCCATGCCGGCCTCGCCGCCAGCTCGCGGTCCTTCCAGGGGCCTGGCTCGCCGCGAGCTTGCGCGAGGGGCTGGATGGCAGCCTCGCAGGCGGCTCGGCGCCGCTGTCTCGCCGCACGACGGGCGGCGGTGGCACCGCGCGCGGCGATGTCGCGCCACCTGGACTCCGAAGGCCGCCACGCTTTCGGGCCGCCCCCCGTCGCCATCCCTGTTGAGCCCAAGGCCCCGCTGCCCCCTCCCTCAAGCCCGCCGCGTTGCCTTGTGAATCTGGGGTTGCGGGATACGCCGAGGAAGAGTCCAGGAGCGGCGGGCCTACGGAAAAGCCTGAGCCAAAATGGCGACTGAAGACGGCAGGAGGAGGAGGAGGAGGAGGAGGAGGAGGAGGAGGAGGAGGAAGAGGAGGAGGAGGAGGAGGAGGAGGAGGAGGAGGAGGATGGGGCGGGGGGAGAACGGGGGGGGAATACGCGCGAGAAGTGCACTATTCAAAACGAGAGCCCGACATAGGACGGCTCTGGGAAAACATCGGAGCGGGAACAAGAAGGAACGCAGCTTGTCACGTCCCCTTGGCGGGGAAGCCACAGTAGTCGGAGGGTAAAACACAGGGCGCGATGGGAAGCGTACGACCCCGGAGGGGGAAACACCCAAAGCATAGGTACATTACAATGTGTGTCATTCTCGAGACGCCGCGGGTAGATGGGACGTTTCTGCAGCCTGTTTCAATCGAGTTGCATAGGTGGCCATCCGCGGTCTCCCCCGTTTTCGACTTCCCGCTTCTCCAGGAAAAAAACGTTGAACCCACAAGTGTTAGCCAGAGTGGACCCTAAGCAGTGAGTTATTGCATTGTGAATGTGCCAGATATTGTGCGCAAGCTACAACGCGGAGCGAGCTATGCGGTGCAAGCTATGTTGTGTGCAAGTTATGCGGCGCAAGTTATGTTGTGTAAGTTGGGTTGTATGCCCTATACGATGAGAGCTGTATTGAGCAAGCTATGTGGTGTGGTCTGTGTGGTGTGAGCTATGCGTTGGAAGCTATGTGGTGCAAGCTATGTTGTGTAAGCAATGTTGTGCAAGCTATTTGGTGTCAGCGCACAGGGCTCCCATAGGGCGCCCACGAGCGGGTACCGAACGGGACGCCCACGTCGCAGCGAATCCTAGGAAAACCCACCCAGCGCACGGGGTGCACGCGAGCGGGCACGGGCGCCAACGTGGCTAAAGCACGGGAAAGCCATGCGAGTATTTGAGCAAAACAATTACACACACGTCAGCGCAAGCGCTGCTTGCGGAAACCTGTCCCCCTCTCAGGACACCATTGCGCACCTTGGCGCATGGACCCACGTCTTGCAGCACTCTGCTGGCCAGCTCGCGCCAGCGGCATGCGCGGGGGTTCCATCGGAATCTGCACTGGCCAAAACCAGGGAGGAGTCGGACGCCGCCCATGCGCTGCTCATCGAGGTTGCTCGTGCCGCCGGCTTGGGGGGGCCTGCCTTGGAGGCCCGCCATGAAGCAAGCGGGTCCTACGGGAAGCGGGTCCTGAGGTTTTTTGATCGTTTCTGGGCTGCAAGGGCCGTCCACGGGCTCCCATGGTCCCTCCCACGGACCCCAGCCCTCTCCAACAATTATCTTGGCGAAGGATCCTACCGCATGCATCTGCGAGCATCACGAGGCAAGTGAGACAACGGAGGGGTGCACAAACAGCGTGAGGGGTGTGTCGTAGTGGGCGGGGGAGACGCATGCGAACGGTGGCAATGTGTGGGTGGAGCTCCCTATGGGGCCACGAACTGTGTAAGGAGTGTGCCAGACTGTGTGGGGGAAGACGTACTTGGTTTGTCGCACGGGGGCCTTTGGTGGTGGTCCGTATGTGGCCACGAACCGTGTAAGGAGTGTGCCATACTCGGTGGGGGAGAGGCATGCGGCCAGTGGCATTGGGGCCTTGGGTGGGAGTCCTTACGGGGGCCACGAACCATGTGAGTGGCGCGCGACGAATGCGGCCGGTGGCGGTGGGCAGGACGACCAGCTCATCCAGAACAATTTCAGCCGCGACGAGCTCATTTGGACGAATCTTCTTGTCGGACGAACTCGTCCGGATGAGGTTGTCCGGATTGATTGCGGATGAGCTTGTCTCTGGATGAATTCGTCCCGATCATTGATCGGGACGAATTCAGTGGATCAATGGATGAGTCTTGTTCAGGAATGTGTTGTGAACGACGGATTGATATGAGAGAGATTCGAGATTTATGGATCCAATTTAGAAGAATTTGTTTTGAAGAAGAAGTCGTTCCGGATGAACCCGATCCAGAAGAATTCGCCCTCGAAGTTTTCGTCCCAGATGCTCGTTCCGGAAGGAGTTGTCCCGGAAGGCGTCGTCCTGGAAGGAGTCGTCCTTGAAGAACCCGCTCAGGAAAAGTTAGCCCAGGAGAAGGCGTTCGTGAAGAGTTCTAGCCGACGTTGACGATGATAACGAAGACGATGACGCTGCCCATGCTGACGACGATGATGACAGTTCTTTTTTTCTGCCCGCCCATCATTGCCAATGGAATATGTTTCCCACCCCGCGACGTTGCCAAATTACGAGTCAAGTGGGAACATGTTTTTGGTCGGCCTTCCCAAGGCGTTGGAAATGTATTTTGTTAGGCCCCCAGGGGGTGCCACGTGACGAGTAGAATGCAACAGTAGTGGTTTCCGTCACTCCGCGTTGCCACGTGACCTGTAGAATATTATGGTAGGTTTCTTGCCCCCAGGCATCGATGCGTGACAGCTCGAGTGGAATCGCGTGTGGTGCTGCCCCCAGGCGGTGCCACGTGACGAGCAGAGCGCAAGAGCGCGTGCTTTCGCCCCGAGGCGCTGTCGCGTGACGGGCAAGAGCGGGATGTGATCTTTCTTTGGCTCCCGGGCGCTGCCGCTTGACGTGGGAAGTGGAATCGTACTCTTTCGGCCCCAGACGCTGCCACGAGGCGGACGGGCGCGCCCGCGGGCGGGCAAGCGAGCGGGCGGCCGCCGTCGTCGCCGCCGTCCTCTGTCGTCGCCACCCTCGTCGTCATCGCCGTGGTTGTCTGTTGATATCGTATGTGTTACCGTTGTGGTCGTCGTCGTGGTCGTCGTCGTCGCCGCCATCGAAAAGTTATGGCGTCGTCGTCGCTGTTAATTGACGTGGTCGATGCCGTCGTCGTCGTCTTCGTCGTGACAGCCGCTGTCGTCATTGTCGTCGTCGTCGCCGCCATCGAACAGTAATGGCGTCTTCGTCGCTGCTTGTTCTCGTCGGCGATGCCGTCGACGTCGTCTTCGTCGTGACCGCCACTGTCGTCATCGTCGTCGTCGTCGTCGTAGTCGTCATCGGCGGCGTCGGTCGGGAAATGGTCACCCGTGACCCGGAGCCTTCCGAAGGCGTGCGCTTCGACGGAGACCTGCAAGTTGTTTCGTCTCTCTGCGTTGTCACGTAGCGAGTCGAATGGCATAGTTTCTCTCTGGCTCCGAGGCGCTGCCACGTGGCGAGTGGAGTGGAATATGTCGTGTTCCTCCCCAAGGCGTGGTCGCGTGGCGAGTAAGAGTAGAGTTGTCTTCGTCCTCCCCCCGCCCCCCCCAGCGTTGCCACGCGACGAGCAGAGTGGAACAGTTGTTTTGTTCGTCCCTCTGGCGTGGCCACGTGGTAGAGTGGAATCGCATTACGCTTCGCCCCCCAAGCGCCAAGTTGCGAGTAGACCGGAACCTATGTTTCCGCCCGCTAGGCATTCCCGCGTGGCGAGTACAGTTGAATAGCATGGTTCCCGCCCCAACGACGCTGCTTTTCGGTTGCCCCCAAGGCGCTGCCACGTGGCGAGTGGCCAGAAGTGTGGAGTTGCTTTCCTGTTCGGTCCCCAGGCGCCGCCACGTGACGAGTAGAGTGGAATGGTATTTGCTTCCGTTCCTCGGCATTGCTACGAGACGCGTGGAACGATATGATGTTGTTTGTGCGCGCGCAGGGCGCTGGTGCTGTGTGTGCGTTTCGGCCGTCGCGGCCCCGCTCCTGGCAGACAGGGGCTTTCCTGGTCGTCGCCGCCGCCTCCGTCGTCGCTGTGCTGCCGCTGCTCCAAGATCTCTTGCTCGGCATCGCCGTTCATGTGTCTTCATTCCCCAGTCAGAGCTTGCACTTAGGTGGTTTGCACTTAGGTGCCTTACTTAGGGTTTTTGTGTTCCTCCGTTGCCGCCCGCTTGCGTGGGACGGTCGGCCGTCGAGACTGCGCCGAGTCGCCGCCCGTTGCCGCCTCGTCGCTGCTTCGTTGCCGCCCGCTCGGAGGGGTCCGTGGAGGTTTCGCCGCGTCGCCGCTCGTTGCCGCCTCCTGGTCGCCCACTTCGGGGGTCCCTGGAGGTTTTGCGGCGTCGCCGCCCGTTGCCGCCTCGTTGCCGCCCGCTGAGGCCGTCCATGGGGGTTTCGCCGCGTCCCTGCCCGTTGCCGCCTGGTTGCCGCTCGCTGCCGCCCGCTGTCTGGGGTGTCTGTGGAGGTTTCGCTGCGTCGCCGCCCACTGTCCAGAAGAGCTTGTCCTGCAGAAATGGCCTGGACGAAGTCGTCTCGGAAAGAGCCGTCCGGAAGAATCTGTCTGGAAGAATTTGTCCAGAAGAATCCGTCCAGAATGATTGTCCGAGCGAAATCGTCTTTAAAGAACGCCGTGCAGAAGAAGTTGTCCAGAAACAAATGTCTGGACGACATTGTCTCGGAAGAAATCGTCTGGAAGGATTTGTTCAGAAGAATATGTCCGGGAAAATGTGTCCGGACCGAACGGAATCTCCAGGAAGACATCGTCAGGAAGAATTTGTCCGGAGGAATTTGTCAAGAATAATGTGTTCGGATGAATTCGTTTTCGGGTGATGTGGGTTTCGGAAGAATTCATGTGGAATATGTGTCCCGGCCGGACTCGTCCAGATCAATTCGTCTCGGATGAATTCGTTTGGTGGCATTCCTTGTGTGGGACTCCTTACAGGGCCACGAACCATCTGAGGGGTGTGCCGAAATAGCCATGTGGGGGGGGGCGGAGGCAAGGATGGGAGGGAGGAGGGTAAGGATGAGGAGGAGGAGGAGGAGGAGGACCAGTGTAAACCTAAAACTCATCAACGATGTTGGAACAGAGCCTCCCTCCAAGCTCCCTCCCGACAGGCCCCTAGAGTGATTCATTCCTATTGAGGGAAGTGCCCAGTTTGGAGACAACCGTTTGAAGATGCTGGAACGTGCCAAGACACCACTCTTGGGCTTGCAGCGCCACGAATCACCAGGACTGCTGCTAATTGGCTATCTTGTATCGCGGCAGAACGCCGCTCCTGGGACTCACCGTAACTGTTGCGCCCGAACAATCCGGAGTCGATCCTCAACATCATTCCTGATACGTCGGCTATGAGATTCTGGGAAATGCCTGCCACTGTTGAGACGAATGCACGCGGCGCTTCGGCGAGAGCCACATTTAAAAAAGGAGTCGCCCTCCATCTGTGAAACGCCTGCACGCTGTTAAGACGAATGTGCGCGGCGGAGGAAGAAGAGGAAGAAGAAGCAGAAGAAGAGGAGGAGGAGGAGGAGAGGAATACGCGGGGCGCTGTCTCTTCAAATCGAGGACCCAATACCACAGGATGGCCGGGAACAGCTCAAGATGAACAACCGGGGCCCGCGTCCATCATGGCACTAGGCGGTCTGCGGCCGCTTCGCCTCCGTGACCGAGCTGCAGTCTCACTACGCCGCCTGCGCCGACAACACGCAGCGCGGGGCCATGCTGGTTCCGACGATCCTGCATGCAGGGGGAGACATGGCCTTTGCGGAGTGCACAGAGGAGGACTGGAGGCGAGCCCACGTCGCATCCGCGGCCGTCATGCAGGTGGCTTTGGAGTGCCCCCTTGGCGCTGCTGAACCTGATTCCGCGGCAGGCTGTGGACGCTGGCATCCCGTGCTAGTTGTGGAAGCAACAGCAGCTTTGCTCAGCGAGTTGCAGCGGCACCGCGAGGAGATCCTACCGCGGTGGTGATGACTACGATTTCCCCATCTCACTTGGACAACCCACCAAGCCTTACCCAGGAATCAGTCACACAGCGAGCCTGGCTCACGCGAAATCGGTGTGACACTTGCATTCTGGCCACACGCTTGTCTCGGAATATTGCTCTGACCGAAGCGTTGGTCGCATTCCCGATTCGGGCTGGTGTTCTCGTCTCGTCGCCGGCCGCATCTTTGATTTCGAATGACGTTCCCGCTTTTGCGCGGCCACATCCACGGTAAAAAGTGGTGCTCTCGCCTCGGCGCCGGCGACGCCCCTGACTGAATTCCCAGCCATCCTGTGGTGTTGGGCCCCCGTTTTGAAGAGACGGTCCCCGCGTTTCCTCCCTCTTTCCTTCCCTCCTTCCTTCCCTCCTCCTCCCCTCCTCCCTGTACCGCCCGCATGCGTCACGCACGCACACCCAATTCGGCACACACACACCTGGCCCCCAGTGCCACCGCCCGCATGCGTCACGAACACCCATTTCGGCACACCCCTCACACGTTTCGTGGCCCCATGGGGAGCTCCACCCGAGGCCCCCGTGCCACCGCCCGCATGCGTCACGCACGCCCATTTCGGCACACCCCTCACACGCTTCGTGGCCCCATAGGGAGCTCCACCGAAGGCCCCCGTGCCACCGCCAGCATGCGTCACGCACACCCATGTCGGCACACCCCTCACACGCTTCGTGGCCCCACAGGGAGCTCCACCGAAGGCCCCAGTGCCGCCGCCCGCATGCGTCACGCACACCAATTTCGGCACGCCCCTCACACGATGCGTGGCCCCATGAGGAGCTCCACACAAGGCCCCAGTGCCGCCGCCCGCATGCGTCACGCACACCCAATCTGGCACATCCCTCACACGTCTAGTGGCCCCTCAGGGAGCTTCACCGAAGGCCCCAGTGCCATTTCTGCACACCCATCACACGTTCCTTGGCCCCATTGGGAGATCCACAGACGGCCCCAGTTCCACCGCCCGCACGCGTCACGCACACCCATGTCGTCACACCCCATCACACGTTTCTTGGCCCCATAGAGCTCTTCCGAAGGCCCAAGTGCCACCGCCCGCATGCGTCACGCGCGCCAAATTTCGGCACACCCATCACATGTTTCGTTGCCCCATAGGTAGCTCCACCCAAGGCCCCAGCGCCGCCGCCCGCATGCGTCACGCACACCCATTCCAGCGCACCCCTCACACGTTGCGTGGCCCAATAGGGAGCTCCACCCGAGGCCCCTGTGCCACCGCCCGCATGCGTCACGCACGCCAAGTTCTGCTCTCCTCACAGGTTTCGTGGCCCCATCGGGATTTCCTCCGAAGACCAGTGCCACCGCCCGCATGCGTCACGCACACCAATTTCGGCACACCTTTCACACGCTTCGTGGCCCCGTAGGGAGCTCCACCGAAGGCCCCAGCGCCGCCGCCCGCATGCGTCACGCACACACACATTCCGGCCCACCCCTCACACGTCAGCTCTCACGCGCTTCGCAGCCCCGTATGGAGCTCCACCGACAGCCCCAGCGGCTGCTTTTGCATGCGACCACTGGACAAAGTTTGGCACACGCACACACGCCTCACACGTTTCGTGGCCCGATAGGGAGCTCCTCCAAATGCGGAACATACAACGACGGCATTCACAACTGCATAAGGTTGGGTCCTTCGCCAGGCTAATTCCCTACCTAGGCTCTGCCTAAAAGGGTTCTTATTCTCTTTGCTTGAAGGGGCCGGGCAGTGGACCCCGCCCCGGGCGGTTCCCCCAGGATCCGCCCCGCGGTTCCCCCAGTTACGTCCCCTTGGCTTAGCGTGCTTATCTCATCTTAGCTTAGCTTATTTCATCTTAGCTTAGCTTACCTTCATCTTAGTTTCGCTGAGCTTTAACATAGCGGAGCACAGCATAGCATAGCATTTCGTAGCATAGCATAGCGCAGCACAGCATATCATAGCATAGCCCAGCATAGCATGGCATAGCGCAGCATAGCATAGCATAGCATAGCATAGCATAGCATAGCGCAGCACAGCACAGCACAGCATAGCACAGCGCAGCATAGCATAGCAGAGCATAGCATAGCATAGCATAGCATATAAGAGCATAGCGCAGCATAGCATAGCGCAGCATAGCATAGTATAGCATAGCCTAGCCTAGCCTAGCCCAGCACAGCATTGCGCAGCATAGCATAGCATAGCATAGCATAGCATAGCAGGCTCCAACTCCTAGGTAGGGCCGCACTGGGATAATTTTTTCTCGCCTCAGCGGGGGCCGCATTCCCGACTTGGACTTGTGCTCCTTGGCGCCGGCCCCATGCATGATTGCGAGGGATGCTCGCGCCCCAACGCGGGCCGCACCCCTAATTGGGAATGGTATTCTGACTTCGGCGTTGACCGCATCTTTGACAGCGAGTGTTGTTATCGTCTCAGCGTTGGCCACAAGTCTGATTGGGAGTGATGCTGCCCGCTCAGCGCCGGGCTGGGGCGTGGTGCTCTCGCCGCAGCGCCACTTCTGCGTGTCGGACCCTCCGCCGCATGCTGGACAGCGCGTGTCCCGAGGCCGCCGATTTGGTGCATCCCGATGTCCGCCAGGGCCGAACCGAGGCGCTTCTGAATCCGTGTGTCGATGCATGCTGCCGGCTTCCAGCGCACCGATTCCGAGGCCTGCACCTCGGGGGAAGGGGGCCGCCCCCACTGTTGTGGTCCAGCGTGGGACGCATGCCCCCCCCCCCCTCCCTCCGCCCCAACCGTTCCACGCTGCAGTTTGCTGCGTCGTCCCCTAACTCGGTTGGTAGCCGCTTGTCCTATTCATGATCGGGCTTGGGGCAAAATCATGTGTGTGTGTGGTGTGTGTGTATGTGTGTGTGTGTGTTTGTGTGTCTGTGTCTGTGTCTGTGTCTGTGTGTGTGTGTGTCTGTGTGTGCGCGCTTGTGGGCCGGGCGCGTGCGTCTCTCCGCCCGACTTTCTAAGCCGCCCCGCCGCGTGGCCGCGACACCAACAAGTGTGTGTATGTGTGTATATATATAAATATATGTATATATATATATATGTATGTATGTGTATATACACATAGATGAGTGTGAATACATGGATATGTATGCATATCTCTATGTATACATGTATATGAAGAGAGATGTGTGTATGTATGTTTTGCGCGCGGGGGTGAGGGGGCTGAGTCCTAAACCGATGCCCGCACGTTTTCGATGTTGCAAACTTTCTTGTCGATGCTCTGTGGTGCCCTGCATCGTACGCCGATTCTGCACAATTGTTGGCCCAGGTTTCCGAAGGCTGGGTGGGATGCCCACTACCACCGCGGATGAATGCCAGGATGGCATCGAGCTGAGGGAGATGGACAGCACGAGACACACCGAGGCCGCGCGGATCCGGTTGTTGCGGCGCTTCGTGGACGCCGCTGGCAGCGGGGACCACGACGGGTGGCAGTCGCCGGCCACGCTGGTTCAGATCTGCTCCGGCGAGCTCGTCCTGTCCACGCTGCAGAGAGCGATGCAGAGTTCGCCCGCGTCTTCCTCGGGGCCGGCGACGCCAGCCACGCAGCATCAGCAGCAGTTCCGGAGCTTGGCGCACTGCGCACTGGCCGCGGCGGCCGCGTTGAGCGGCGGCGCGCCGGCGCCCGCCGGGGCGAGCTGCGAGGCCAGGGGTTGAGGGTTCCTGTCCCAGCGCGGCCAGGAAGTATTGGAAATTAGGTTGGGAGTATTCGGGGGTGCCGGATTTGTGGATTCGGGTTCGATCAAGGATTGTTCGTTTTCGGTGTGGTTTGATCAAAGTGCCACCTCGGAGGCGGGCAGAAGCCCCGCCACGACAAGTCGATAATCGAATCCTCCTGGCGAGGGCATTCTTGCGGGGAGGCAGCTGCCATTTTCCCAGTCAGGGCTTGGGCCCAAGATTCTCGTTGTCTTGTCGGTCATTTGGCCCTAGACCTGAGGGGTGTCGACCAGGGGGCGTCGAATATTCAACATGGCGTGGGGGGTATGTACCTCTCCCCTGAGACATCCTCGCAAAGTGGGAATGTTTGTGGGGTTGTGTTACGTGTTGCTTCCAAAAAGGAAAAGGCTCTCGCCTGCGACATCCGCAGAAAATGGAGATGGTGAGATCGCTCGCGAATTTTGAGGTGTATGAAACATGTTAGCAAGCGTGGACCCCAAACAGTAGGTTCTTGCAATATGTGCGGTGCAACCCATGTGGCGCAATGTATGCGCTGCAACCAACGTACGATCTATGCGGTGCAAATCTACGTGGTGCAATCTATGCGATGCGACTTGGGTCATGCAATGTATACGCGGAGCAGTATATGTTGTGCAACGTATGTGGTGCAACCTACGTAATGCAATATACGCGGTGCAATCGATGTGGTACAACGCATGCGATACAAGCTAAGTCTTGCAATATACGCGGTGCAATCTATATGGTGCAACGTTTGTCATGCAACCTATGTAATGCAGCTTATGCGGGGCAAAGTATGTGATGCAATGTATGCGATGCAACCTCTGTCATGCAAATTATGCGTGGTGTAACGTATGCGATGCAGCCTATGTAATGCGGCATATGCGGTACAATTACGTGGTGCAATGTATGCGATACAACCCATGCCATTCAATATACGCGGTGCATTCTATGAGGTGCAATGTATGCGATGCAAACCACGTAAGGCAATCTATGTGTGGTGCAATGTATGCGATGCAACCGATGGAATGCAGTCCACGCGGTGCAATGGATGCGGTGCAATGTATGCGCTGCAACCGAGTTAGTGCATTATATGCGGTGCAATCTAGTTATTTGGTGCAATGTGTGCGATGCAACCTATGTAATGCACCCTATGCGGTGCAATCCATGCGATGCGGCGACGGCGACGGGCGGCACGGGCGGCGACGGGCGGGGATGGCCGGCGACGGGCGGCGACGGCGACGGGCGACGGCAGGCGGCACGGGCGGCGACGGGCGGGGATGGCCGGTGACGGGCGGCGACGGCGACGGGCGGCGCCCGGCGGCACGGGCGGCGATGGGCGGCGACGGGCGGGGATGGCGGCGACGGGCGGCGCCCGGCGGCACGGCGGCGATTTTGCGGGAGGGTCGCGAGATGGTTAGCGCAAGTAACCACCCTTAAGTGCAAGCGTTTGTCTGAGGAATGATGTTCGCGCCTGGGAACTAGTAACAGCATCGGGATGGTGAAACGGTTGTTTCCGACGTCGAGTATCAAACCGTTGGAGTTCGTTACGAATGTCTTCAGGACAAGGGCGATGTTGAGTGAGCTCGTGAATTCGACGTACTGGTACCTTCAAGAAGGGGGCCCTCGCCTGAGAAGTCATCAAGGAAATCTGAGGAGTTTGAATGATGTGTAGTGTACGCCCTTTCGATATTAGATGTCGCTGCATACGTCTCTACAGAGCTTGCGTAATTCGGTTGTCCTCAAAACAGTGGGGCTCTCGTTTGAGACATCCTCAAGCGTGGAGGCGCCGAAAGAAGTGTTTGTTGGTTCATTCGGAGGGCCTCCATGACGGCCCGAGAGACAACAGCAAAGAAGTACACTTAGTGTGCGTTTTTCTTCAAAAGTGAGGTTGTCGTCTGAGACATTCTTCTGACACCAAGAAGGCGTCGGAGGAAGTGATGTCAGAGTCGTTTGGGTGTTCTGTGGGAGGGCACCCCCCCAAGACGGCCCAAGAAACAACAGCAGATAAATACAAATTGCAATTGCGCCTTCAAGAATGAAGCTCCCGCCTGGGACATTCTTCAACAAATAAGGCGTCAAAGGAATCGCTTTCAGAGTCTTTTCGGGGTTATCTCGGAAGACAGTTGGCCCAAGAGTCAACAGCAGAGCAGAGCCTTGCGAAGCCCCGAATTGCGATGGCATTGAGTCTGACGGCGGCTGGAACGATGGCATATCAGAACGTACCCACAAACACAATGACACGAGCGGGGAACATTCAGGCGAAAATCAAATGAACTCTCCCCCGCCTAATTTGTGCGATTCGTATTTCGACCCCTCGAGTCCTCCCAGTGGAACGTTTGGCCGCCGTGGCGAACCCACCAGAACCGTGACATTGATATTGGCTGAATGCCCGGCGGATTCCGTGATGACCCAGGCGAATGCGAATGCCGCCGCAGAACAGGCGCTGAAGATTTTACCCATTTCTGGCCCAAATCTTTTCGTAATCGTGTTGCACTTCATGTGAGTTCTACATGCAACCGCGCAAAGCGCCCACCAGCCAACCATTCTCGATGTCATGACGCTTCGAGGCTCTGCAGGGGGTTCGTGGGAAGCCTGGCTGGCCCCATGCCCCATATGTGACGTAGCCATTATCGGATACCGTCCTTGCGAGTTCGACTACACACGTTCAGAGGTAGATATCGATCGTGCGTTCGGCATGGGTAATTACTTCCACACATATGTTCATATGTGAGGGCTCCCGTTGGGCGACATCCAAGGTGCATGTTGCACATGTCTTTGCATGTTTTGTGCAGTCAGTGCCTCATGAGGCCCAGGGCCGCGTGACCCAGTTTCACGCGGAACAAACGGTCCGCCCTGTGCGGCGTAGCACAGCACGCCGTACAGCCACACGAGCGTGTGGTGAACATGCCACAGTAGTGATCTAGTCACGTGCCTCACTGGATTCAATGGTCCCTCGGGTTTGCGGGCTCGGCACTCGCGGGCGTTGCCCCGTGCCGTTTTCATTAAAAGGGTGTCTTCTCCAGGGGGGTCCATCCACCTCTGGCCGTCCCCGAATCCAGCACCCAGCACGATCCAAGCCCAACCTCCAGAAGCTTTCTGCTGCAGCTTGGCCAGGGATCCCCAGGCCGAGGGCAGAAGGAAAATCTTGATTCTCGAGGGCGTGGAGTTGGCTGCGCGGCGTGCTTGCAAGAGGTGACGAACGAACAACACACGCCCACACCAATATAGAGAGACGGAGAGGGCTATGGGTGCGCATGGTCGGATGGGGTTCCCCGCTCCAACGGGGGCCTCCCTTGGGGTCCGACAGCCCGCGCCCATGCCCGTAGGCAGTCCTCCTCCCTCCGACCTCCCTACGGCAGGTTCGCGTCGTGCCGACCGGCGGCGACTCCAGCGAGTGCGTTTAAGGTTGAACGCCGCCCGTGGCCCAGAATCGGTCCGTCGTTGAACGATCCGGCGTTGACGGAACGGCCGATCGTTCAAGTTTGAACGATCCCTTGCGGTGTGAGGAACCAACGCCGGGGTCGACACGACGCGAACGTGCCGTATGGGAATGGGTGTTTGCTGTTCGTTCGTCGACAGGGGCACGGCGTCACACGAGTGGGCCGTGGCCTCGCGCATCGTGGAGCTGTTGCCCGCGCTGGTTGCCGCCCTGGCCGTGCGGCACCGCGTCGTGGCGCTGCCCCGCGCCAGCCGCGAGAGGACGCTCCGGCTGCTGTACGCGCTCGGCCACGCCGTCCGCGAGCACGAGCTGCTCACGAGGGAGTGACGTGCCGCCCGCATCGGTTTCGGTAGCAGCTCATAGGGAGCCTCGTGTGCATTCGTGGCTCCGTCTTTGGGGTGCTCCAGCGCGCGCCAGCGTGTGGTAGTCAGTGGGAAGGCACAGACTGGGTGTCGATTCGCGCCCAGTCTGTTCGCAAGATCCAGCAGGATGGCCCCGGATAGCAGGCGCCTCGATGTTTTCGCGGCGCGGGTCCCACCCCCTCGACCACCTCCCGGGGACCGGCTTTTCATCCCGAATCGTTATCTGACGGTCCCGTGGCCTAGTGAGGGCCTGCAGGGGCCGAAAACGATGAGACATGGTCGTCTCGATGTTGTTCGGGACGCCCGATTTCTGGGGCTCAGCATGAAGGGGAGCCGGAAACCTGGAATTGG